TACTCCAAGATAAGTGTATGAGGTAACAATTTGCATTTCATCATTCTTATACCACCATTTTTCAAATTTTCTTAATTTACCTCCTTTTTTGAATACCATTATTTTAGACTTGTTTACGTTCACACTGAGTCCCCATGTGTTACAAAATGATTCAAGTTTATTTATTAATTTTTGTAAATTTTTGATGGTATCTCCAAATATTAAATGATCATCGGCATATAAAAGATGATTTATAAAACAATCCCCAAATTGTATTTTTTCATTATCTTTGGTTTGCTTTAATTAATAGCTAAGATCATTAAAAAATATATTGAAAAGTAAAGACGATAAAGGTGAACCTTGTTGAATTCCTACAGAGCATTTAAAAGGAAGCGTTAACTTATTGCCAATTTTTACATGTGCTAATACATGTATTGATAGATTTAATAGAATTATACATACAACCGTTAATACCAATTCTATTTAATTTATATAAAAGAAAATCATGGTTAATAGAATCAAAAGACGTTTAAGGTCAATGAAACCACAATAAACTCTTCCTCTTTTTTTAGCTAAATATTTAAAAATTATATAATCTAGGATCAAAATGTTATTTAGAGGACGAAACTCTTTTCGAAAACCCGATTGTTGTTGGTAAATGATGTTGTTGGATTCAATATATTTACTTAGTCTGATATTGAAGTTTACCGAGAACCGGGATTAAAGAAATTCCTCTATAATTTTCTGCTTTTAGCCTGTCACCATTTTTATATATTGGTATTGGTATTATCATATTTGTGGCCCATTGGGTTGGGAATTGACACAATACGGCTTCATCGATTTTATTTTAAACAATTGCGTTCATAAATTCATCATCAAGTTTTTCGACAGTTTCATGTTCCCATCGTGTTTTAAATGTGCTCAGATAATTTTCTTTCCATTTATATTTAATAACTTGTCTACAAAAATTCACATCATTGTTATTGACAGTATCATGATTTTCAACAATATCGACTTTAATTTTGAAGTTAACTGGCATGTGGTCCGACTCTACACGCTTGTCAATACACAAATTAATATTTTTAAATTCTTCGTATGGGGCAAGAAGATAATCACACACACTATTTCCTTGGTGTCCGACAAAAGTATAATAATTTGACAAGTCTTTATGTATTCTACCATTAGTTATAAGCATGTCTGTTTCTTTACAAAAGTCTAAAATATCAAGGCCATACTTGTTTACATTTTCATCAATATTACATCTCGTCTCAATTAGTTCGTCTTCTGGGACGTATATTTCCACTTCGGACGGATTATGATCACTATGAATGTAATCGATTTCTGTACCTGCTCTTCTAATTAAATCACCAGCTATGAAAATTGGGCACATATACATATGATTTAAATTCAGCTAGCTCATTTGACAATATATCAAAAAAAGTAATGATTGCATAAGGGGATCCAAAGGGTGGTCTGTAGACAAATGCTATAATTATATTTTTTGAATGTATTGAAATATTCAACCAGAATATTTTTTTAGAATTGCTTGATAATTCTATAATAATCATATTATTTTTGAAATATACAAAAATTCCTCCAGTGTCTCTACCAAGATGTGATTTTTTACCAGGCATCTTCCCTATACACTCATATCCATTAATGTTGTAACAAGTATCAAAATTAACCCACGTTTCACTTAAACTTAATATACGGTATCAAAGTTACATACATAAATTAAGAATTCTGGATCCATAAAATTGTTCTGCAAACCATTAATGTTCCATGACAGGCACTTTAGATCAACATGCGAGTTAATAGGAGTATTGCATTCATGATTATTTGATACAGTACTGTGACCATGTGAATAAATGCGATTTAACATCAGTAGAGGTGTTATTTACGCACAGCCCCACATCATGTACATTTGCAGTTTCTGATTTTCACACATAAATCTGACTTGCTTGTAAGGTCATCACCTCCCTGAGTTATAGACATAGATATGATTTAAGGAAACGATCCTTAAACAACTAAAATTATATATTCTGTTTTATTAGGATTACAACGAATTGGCTATCACATTTTATTATTTACATATTTTTGTAGTGTAGATCCAAATAAGTGACACTATAACTATTTATAAAACATTGTCTACATATTTAAATACAATGGCCTAGGTAAAATATTCGCAATTTGTATACCACATGCACGTAAAGATAATCTTTTGATTGTGATCTCGCATTTATATAATACATTCAAATAAGACGTACCCTTCACGAAGTGTTTCTTTTAACAGCATCAAGTGCCTGTTTTAGTTGTGGTGGGGAAAGCCGGCTTCCTAAGGATTCTAAAAGTAGGAGTAGGCCTATAAGAGGATGAATAGAAAAAAGGTTGAATGAGTTTAAGACGCGCAGTGTCAGTCATGTTCCATTTACTTATAATGATAAAATTTGTTTACAACCTATAGTACAAAAGCTCCCAATCGTAAGTAAGGTAACCAACAATGTTTGTGAAATGTTTTTTATATAATGGCATCAAAAGAACCTTCGGCATCTTCCGAACACGATTCAGACAAAATCTTATTGTAGTAGACCTAAGTTATGACATCGTTAGCTCTAGACCTTAGTACCTCTGTCGGATACAAAACCATACTGTGCAGAGTCAAGCTCGGTGTTATAGTGAAATTCCACAAAACACAATTCAGTTAGTTGGGCAATGTGTTAAAACCATTCTGCTGTGTAGAACCAGCATGGGTTTCTTTTAAGATTGGAATCAGAACTTCTTGGAATGCTTTAAGATATTATTACTTACACAACCTTTAAACATTAAAAATACTGTTAGTAATTGCTTTGACTGCTCAGTAGTGACATGGGTATGTCACCATCGAAAACATAAATACAATGAAGTAGGAAATAAATGTGTATCGAATGCTTATTTGCTTATGCATCAAAATCAAATTCCATGCTAATCTAAGAGAATTGAAAGGCTTATATCGTTTCAATTAGATTGACGTTCTTAAAAAATCGCACCAATGATAATATAGGCTTATAAGAAGAACTTTTCTCACGAGAATACACGCTGCACACATCAGAAGTGGTGTGAGTAAAATTTAGTACATCTTCAACACTAAAACACTCATAGATTGTCAATGATGAATTTCGGGCTCAAAATAATTGAGAATGTCAACTGACGAGGCGGATGCCACTTTAATAAAAGAATACGATAATATGACAATTGTATAGCATACGCTAATACGATCTTCGACTCAACCTGTTTATCTAATAGCTGTTATGTGTGATCAACTGTTGAAATAGTTTTAACGACGTCATTTTTAAATGCACATAATCTCAAATGAATGTGTCAGTAGAGACTTAAGGCTTATTTTTCAGTGTAATATTCGGTGTAGGCGAGCAATTTATTTTTTACAGGCACATTTTGAATTGTCACCATTTCCCATTCTTCAACGATAACTTGCAGATAGCGATTAACGAAAACCTAATATTTTTGGGTACAGATGCCGTATTATAGATCATGTTTGATTGTTTATATTGTAGGCTATTGTTAAAGATATATTTTTATAATTTATCAGACATACAATGTTTCGCTTTTTGTTATGATTCTGTTTTGTAATACAAAAACATTTTTATACATATTGTATTGTACAGAATAGACGTGACTGTGTTATAAACTTCCTTTCTTATCTTAGTGGAGTTGGTTTTATTCTTTAGAGATAAAAAAAAACACTATGATTTGAATCAGACACTCAGTTTCGCAGGCAATCGTCATATTTACCGAGATACAGCCGCTCCATCATCTCGATTAAATCTTTTAAACTCTATTTTTCAGGTTTTAATCAAGAACAAGTAGACTATTTGGATTTTGTAAATATAATTAAAGCAAGATTCATTTCAATTCCAGCAATTCAGTTGTGATCACCAAAATCATTTGACGGTAATTTAGTAGATGAAACTTTAGAATGAACTCTGCAGGTATTGGTACGAGGAACCTAGTTCTCTCTTGCAATTTCCATTGACAAATGGAAGAGGTAATTAGAATAAATCTTTTCACATGATCGAACGCGAAAAATAATTGTTGATAAGTGTGAGCTGAACTGGACGCGCCGTCAGCCTCCATCACATCATTCTGTGGCTTTGTAAACTATAGTCAACTGTCAACTGTGCAGGTAAGATAGTTTGTCTAAAGATATTATTATTATTAATTCTTATTGGTTGAGCTATCATCTTTAACCTGAATCAATTATCCTATTCACTCTATTTCCATCACAGACGTGAAAACAAATCTTGATTCAGTGAATTCAGAATACCGACAAAGGGGTGCTTGAAAAGTCTTGAAGAATCTCATGCGAATTTCAGTACTCACATTACAATTCACAAACACGGTTAACTTCTTCTTTTCCAAAGTTAGTTTTGTAATATAGTGCGAGTTCGTCGATGTTTGTATCAAACATCTTAATTGATAGTGTTATGTTCGGTAATAATGTACAAACACCGTGTTTAGTTACAAGTTATTATCAACTCTATTATGTTTTTTTCTATGCTTTATTTAATCTATGGCATTGCTTTACTGTGCCGGAATATTTTTAGATATAGTCGCAGATTGATTAGACGACCTTGTTGCAGTTTAGCTTCTAACTGAAAATTATATTTTGTGGAACATTAAGACGCTACTTGTATATAGAAGTTTATAGTAATTTTGATCTTAATGCAATGTTTTTCATATTCAGTTTTGTTTTTTTTTTACCAAATAAACATTTCTTTTGTATACATTATATTGCATTTTACAATAGAAATAACAATATAAGATTTGATTGTTATTCCCTAAATGTCTTATGAGGCTTAGGATTTCAACCATTAGAAAAACATTACCTTATAGGATGTGAACCATAGACACTAGATTTTGCAGACAAGCGTCTTACCCACCATGTTACAGCAGCTCTACTTTTAAACATTTTAAGAAAGCACATAAATTGCAAGAAAACACAGTTTTTATCATAACAACCACTGTTTATTAGATTTAAAAAAAACCAAAATTATATTTAACTAATGATATCAAACACCAAGATGAAAATATAGTGCCCTCGTCAAAAGGAAACTACAAAGTTGTATTTGAAGGAAATCAAATAAAATTATAATTAGGCCAATAAATGTATAATCAATTAATAATAATATTATACCACGTACCACTACCACATAGGTTGTATATCCTACATTCTATTGTATTGAATTCCTTTATTAAAGTACCTTGCATTATTACAATTTCAAGTACAGATACTGTAAAAAAAAAAAGCAGATTGTGTATATTATACTTTTAGATTGATTGATTGATTCATTGATTCATTCATTCATTCATTAGTTAATTAGATGGTTGGTCAGTCATTTATAGATTGGTTTGCCTGTCTGTCGATCTGTCAGTTGGTTGGTTGGGTGGTTGATTGTTCGACCAGAGTCGTCAATTCGTAGTTTGGGTGATCGGTGTTGGTCGGTCAGTTGCTTTGTTGGTCGGTCTGTTGGTAGGTTAGTCAAATCGATCAATTGGTTGATTTATTCATTGAATAATTAATTGATAAATTCATATTGATTAACCTATCCTCTGAGTGCATTATCCTATCCGCTCAATTTCCATCACAGATGTGAATACAAATCCTGATTAAATTGAATTGAGAACACCGACAAAAAGACACTGCTACTGATATGGAAATTATGTAATTTTCGGGAATAGCATGTGAATTTCAATACGCCCATCATAATTCGCAAACACGGTTAACTTTAAATTTTCCAAAATAATTTTCAACGATAGAGCGAATTCGTAAATTTTGTTCCACACGTCTTAATAGATAGTGCTATGTTCTGTAATAAAATCAAACACCGTGTTTAATTGCAAGTTATTATTAAATCTGCTTTACTTTTTCTAAGCTTTATTATCTACGGTATTAGTTTATTGCGCAGCACTTTTTTATAAGTTTAAGTTACACATAGATTAGTCAAAATTGTTGCAGTTCAGCTTCTTGCATGAGGTCGTATGTTATTAATTCCATTAAGACGTTACTCACTGTAAATATTGATCTCAAAGCAATGTTTCGCTTTTTTTGTAATATTTCTGTTTTGTTATATATAAATGCATTAATTTTTTTACATTATGTTATATTTTCTTTCTAAATAGTAAGTACACTCGCCATTGTGCCTAAATATGGTCATGATAACATCACATTATGACCATATATAGGCACGTCATGACTATATATGGGCATACAGGGCTTTAGACTTAAGGAGTAGAGTTGTTTTAGTCATTCTTAACAGGAATCGAACCATGTGGACACTAGGTTTAGCAGGCAAGCGTCTTACTCACCAAGTTACAGTAGCTCCACTTTGTGAATTAATATAAAGAAAAAAACAAAATTAATTGTAAGTCAAAGTTTTTATCATAACAATCATTGTTTATTAGACTACAAAAAGAAGAACGATTATATTTAACTAATGAAATAAAACGTAACAAAATATAGTTCGCTCAAAACAATGTTTCAAGGTACGTAGTATTTGATGGAAATCAAATGGGTATCAAACAAAACTATAATAAGGGTTATACATGTGAACATAATATTTAATAAAATATTATTACAGGTATTATTATTATTATACCAGGTACCAATTAGGTTGAATATCCAATGTACTATTTACCAAATTCTCTTATTAAATTACAATTTTATGTACTATCTAAAAACAAAAAACTGTATTGGTAAGGTACTTCTTAACGTAGGAGAATGACTGTTTAATGGAACATAGATGATCAATTGGTCATTATGTGGTTGATTGTTTAGTTGGTCGGTCGATCAACTGAATAATCAATTGATTAATTAATCGATCGACCGGTAAGTCGGTTGGCCGACCGCTTGGTCTTTTTGCCCGCTGTCGGTCGGTCGGTCGGTCGGTCGGTCTGGCATTCGGTCAGTCAGTCAGTCAGCCTCTCTCTCGGTCGGTCGGTCGGTCGGCCAGTTAGTCGGTCTGTCGGCCATTCGGTTTGTCTGATGGTTGGCCTGGCGGTCGGTCATTCGGTCGGTAAGTTATTCGGTCTGACAATCGGCCATTCGTCTGTCGGTCGGTAAGTCAGTCAATCTGCCAGTCATTCGGTCGATCGGTCAGCAGTTGGTCGGTTTATCTGACGGTCTGTGGGTCAGTCGATTGATTTAGTGTGTATAATTACATTTAGCAAAGAACAAATTTGTCATGAGTAATACTTGCAAATCACTTCAACGTGTATTAATATTATGTTTAAAAAGCCAATATGTAACAAATTTACAAATCAAAAAAGAAAACGGAAATTATACAATAATTAACACTATTTTACATGGTTTTCATCCCAAGGTAAGTTGGATTATAGGCCTATCACACTTTACATAAATCTTATACATTGCTCTGAGAATATAGACAGACCTGCAATTGCGGTATCATTTTAAGGGACAGAGCCAAACATGTAGCGGTGCTATTCTCCGCAAATACGATGTACACTTAGCAGTAGTTTTAAAACAAGAAACTGGTTTGTATCTAAGGTACATCTATAACAACAATATATATTTAAATATTTTCCTTGCGATTTTCTAGTGAGGTTTATACCTCTATGTAATGTCTTTAATGGTGTTTGTTCATACGTCCTGCGTACGATCATCTAAAACGAAAAATGTTGCAAGTTTTAACGTACAACATACGATAATGTTATGTCCAATCATGCTCATTGTGACGTAGGCCTACATGACCTGTGAGAGCGGTACATTGCAGTTCGGTTGTGTGGATGTAATAATAAAAAGCCACTAATGTGCAATTTATGACAATATGCTTTTTGGAGAGAAAAAAGTAGACCTAGTTATCTCCACACACACTTAGTTTTTTTTTTCTCAGTCCATTCCTAATGGTTGTCGGTTGGTTGTATAACACAAGACAAATTCACCTCCAGAAACTGGTACACTGAAACAATGCTGCAAGATTACAGTAGACGTGACATTCAATGATGTGTCTCCTCGGTCATGATTGATGTCTGTAGTTTGCGATGAAGAACCGGTTCTCGACAACAAAACATCTCGGCAAAGGCTTGTCTATAAATCTTGTTCGTTGCATTGTATATAACGGGATTTACGGCTGAATTCGTATACACCAGTACACGTGCTATATTTAGCAAGCCCACCAGTGTTCTAAATTGTATGTCTGAAAATGTAATTATAAGATTTATGGTAAGAAATGGCGCAAAACAGATGACATACACACTGACAGTGATGAACAGTGTTTGGAAGACTTTTTTCTCGGCCCGTAATTTTAATCGTCCACCGGTCGAATTTGAGTCCGTAAAAGGTGAATTACGAAGTGTTTGCAGTAATATAGAATAGATTATAATTATCACAAACACTATAATGAAGGAAACAGTAGTTTCTATGATTAACAGCCATACTACCGCGTCACACTGTGCTTCGTAACCGGGAAACAGGTTACAATTTGTACAAATTCTTGTCGTATTCGGAAGTCCCATGTACATATCAGGCCAGGGAAATTCATACACGAAGCTCGTCACTAGAAAGAGCTTCCGACTTTGAAAAGTCAATACAAGCAGCCAAATGATGATGCAGATTCTGATGGCGCGATTCCTGGAGGCGAATCCCCATCGTCGAAATAACAACGGTCGACAAATTGAGATATATCGTTCCAATGACATCCATACTATCGTAAATGCTGCACATTGTACGGCAGAGTCCGATAAATAGTAGATCATTTTACAGAAGAAAACGTTTACATTCATGTCGAAGTAATCGTGAATTGCATTGTGAAGGTAAGAGATGAAAATCAAATCTGGGGCTATCAGAAGAAATAAAAGATCCGCTAGTGCTAAGTTTATCAAGTAAATGTTGACCGTGTTATGTAGTCGATGGCCTCTGTTCAGAACTAAAATAGTGGCAGTGTTTCCAAGGATTCCAAAAATTACGATAATAGGCATGAAACCGGCAACAACGGCTTTATCAAAAGTTGTATAAAGATACTGCTCAACTACTGCCTCACTAACGTTAACTGAATAAGCTGATGACAAATCCATCATGAACAATACAAAACAACCTGAAAACATAATAAAGAAACGAGTGTTAATCTATACTGATATATGTCATAGTAGCGGGCAAGGTGCGCCCTCGATAGTAATTGTTACAATCATGATGGAAGAGAGATAAAGGGCGAAATCGATAGCTTGCAAAGTGTTTTTGTCGCAACAATAAATTCAAGAAAAAATGTAATGTAGGAATGTATACACCCTCAATGATTTTAATCCCTAAAATAGTTAAATTAGCAGTGTGCGTATCCGGTCTTTTTTAATAAGTAGAATGTCAAATGAAAGACTTTCATATCAGGAATTATTATCGACTGTATGGTCGTGGTGATCAATCATTAATGAGTCACTTTTTTTCTATTTACGATTCCCATCTTTATAGCTTTTTTTTCGCGCGCCCTTGATATTTGCGATCAAACCACGATAATAAAATATCGCGAACTTCTGAATGATACTTGTGACTTCAAAAGCAATGCTGACCTAGGCCATACCCAACCATAGCTAATACAAAACTGATATTCCCTCAACAAAGATTTCATGGAAACATTCTTGCTTCTTTGTGCACTATTTTCAATCATTCAGTCACATTTTAAAAGTTAAATACAACATTATATAAATGACTAATGTCATATTCTGGTTCTGAAAATAAGCTGTCTTGGCTAGGTCAGTAGTGCACATCACACTTCACACAGCCGGAGTAGAGTGGTACCAGTTGTTTTTTTTTCTGGCTGACTCTATGCCTACCTTAAGGTGGAATAAAATTCGTAGCATTGTATTTCTTCTACAATACAGATATTTCCTATTAGTTGATAATTAACTATTACAATCGTTTTATATCATATCAATGTTAGGCCTACATTTTCTGCAGAACGTGTTTGAAAAACCTTGGTCAAGCCTCCACACAGGCAAACTGCTGACTAGCTGAAGTAGACCTAGGTCTGCTTAAAGCTAGTCTAATTTTAGAATCAACATATAGGCCTATAGGCTCTCTGTGAGCGCCATTTGGCGAAGGCGGACGCCGTCTTCTAACAATCGAGTCGTCGAACGACCCGGTCGGAGCAGTGTGTGCCAAGCTTAACATTTTCTGGAGGAAACAAGTTAGTGATACGCAGCAGCTTTATAGTCAAATTGATGATGTTATGGTAATATAATTTCTACGACTTCATGAAGGTCACTTTTTTGTTATGGATATTGGATTTGGAACAATAAGCTTATACAAATATTAGGACACGTGTTATTAATTCACACAGATTACAAAATGTTAGTCAAACGCACATATAAACTACACTTTATTCTTTTATATTTTTTACTCCCTCTCTGACACACCTTTTCGTAGGCCTACCCTCAACGGTAATTAAATTAATTTATAGAATACGATAAATTCATAGTATTATGACTGTTACTGAAGTATGTCATAATATGTCAATATGTGTGGCACATTGTGTATGTATATTGGTTAACCCTTTTTATTCAAATTGCAAAAAGAAGAACACTATTTCGATATTAAATCTCTTTAAGATTGTTTAGATGTATTGTCTCCTGAAAATGACAAAAAATATTTTAAAAATATTTTTTTAATTAATTGCTTATTTTGCAGTTACAAATTACTAACTTGGGCATAAAAATTATTAAATTAAAGAAATGTGTACCATGATGTTTATACTATATAACGATAAAACTACTAAAAACACTTTCAGTGACTGGAAGAATTTCTATCATTTTTTTTATGTAAAAGTAGGCATGGGTAAACATTTTTTAAATACACCCCATTCTATGTTCAAGTACCAAAATGAGGGAAATAATTTCAAAAATGATTTGTGATATTATTATTGCTATTATTATTATTATTATTGTTATTATTATTATTATTATTAATAGTGAAAACGTTACCGTGCCTTTCAGAGTCTTCGTTTTTCTGAGTAGGAGTTTTAACTATCATGCAAACAACGGAGTCGGATAGTAGTATACATGCTGTTGTTATTATTATTATTATTATTATTATTATTATTATTATTATTATTATTATTATTATTATTATTATTTTGTGTTTGTATTTTGCATGGGACAACACATCTTTAAAATATATTCTTTATAATTTGGAAGAATGAATTATTGATATTCTACTCAAATTGCTTTTGTTGAATAACCTCAAAATATCCCCACTTCACATAATCAGTAGCGTCAATAACGTCAATGACACATTGACACGTTTTAATTATGATACGTCTCAGAGAAATACTGTAATCACCAGCTGAGCCTAGATACACTTTTAACTTAGCTATAGGTTAATGGGTTTATTGTATTGCCTTTTAGCCGTCCGTCATTACTAATGCTATAAAGCACGTTTACTGACAGGCTGATGTCCAATGGGGCACCTTGTTATAAAACGGTCTTAATAGCTTTACTGGTCGATTGTAGGTAGTTTGTATTACATAGACAGACGATGACCAGTGCTTTAAACAGTCAAATATTAAAAGAAATTCATCCTATTTAATAACAACTGGTTTTTTTTATATTCATAAACGGTACCGTAATGCGCCAGCAATAAATATATTATCCAATAACTATTTACCTCCTTCATGGAAAAGATCCTTTAGGCTTTATCCATATGTTGTCTGCCAAAACATGCCACCCTTTCTTAATGTAAACATTACGTTTTTTCAAATTCTAAAAAAAAAATCACTATGCTTTATGTAGCATATTCAACGAGTGCGCAAACTATTATTGACTTTAAACATTTCCATGGGCAATGCAGCCAGTTCAAAGCACTGGGGCCTGGGGTTATTGGGGGCTCGTTCATTAGGCCAATAGATCTAAAAATATAACTTCAACAGTTCCTAGTTATGTTAGATTTAGAGTCATCATTATTTATTATGTTCATTACATTTAATTTTACGTGCCACCAATCCCTGTAAGTAAATGATTTTTTACCAAAAATAGCCCTGAACAGCTTCGTATCTTTTGAATTCATTCAAAGCTAGTACCTTTCATTACGGTACTTTACTTACGTATGGTTCGTACCACGGTACGTTACACTAAAATACCGTACTATTTGAAAGCATATTTCTAAAGAAATTGAAATATCGGAACGTGCGTTTTGTGATACTTTTGTTGTTCACGTCTGTTAATGATGTCAGGTGATCATACTTGTTTTAGATTTACTTAACTGCAAGTGTGGATAATTGTTCTATTGTCAATATTATACTTTATCAGAGACTCATAAAATGCCCAATATGCCCTAAACTAACTAAAATAAATATATAGGCCTATATGACTTGATTTTTTCCTCAATATCCTTGAATATTTTTTCGAATATTTTATAGATATTTTTGCGCGTTACAATGCCGTCTGTTTTTAAAAAAATCTCAGAATGTATGAGCATTAAGTGTTTCGTGTAAGTAGACCCCACCATTTTTTAATGAGAATATTATAAACATCATGGAAGATTTATACAAGTGAGGTAAAATGTGACTATTGCCATACAGCGACCGATACTTCTAAAAAACATGTAGGCCTATTGTACTTTTTTTTTTCTCTCAGAGAGCCCCCTATCACTACACTTCCCTATTCAGTTCAAGAGAACCGTTAGAATGAATAAATCTGAAATGCTTCTACCTTTTGCTTCCCTATAACAAATTGGTAATTTGTGTTACTTTCGGCCATCAACACTTACGATAAAACTAGTACAATGCATATATCATGGCCGAGCCACCGGTTGGTCAGGTTTTAACCTGACTATTTTTGACAGACCACAAGTTAATTGATTTAGGTTTTTGATAGGAAAAAAGGCTTAATTCCAACTGTATGTTTATACTCAACCTGTTCTCTTTTGTGGTGAACGGTAAATGATAGTTCACATTATTCTTTTTAGTATAGGCCTAAGATTTGTAATGATCGATTAAGAAATTAGGATGCATTTTTTTTCTTCAGTTGAAGCGTTTATCCAAATCACGTAGGTCAGTTACTACACACAGTAAACTTTTGCAGAAAATTAGACTAAAGGTTCCCTTGGCTTATAGACTTGCCTTGGGCTTATATTCATTTCTTCACTAAATTACCTAGTGAACTGACAAGAAAAAAAACATGCCTTATCTGTATATTTATTCCTGATAATTTGAGTAAGCAACATTTTTCAAATCAAATCAAATCAAATCAAAATCAAATCAAATCGACTTTATTGCAACTTTCTGATGTTGAATTTACAGTACATCACATTTTAAAACAAATAGAATATATAGGCATATATATATAATAATATATACCTGTATATATATATATATAAATTTAGGAAAAACTCCGAATGCCTTGCAATTATGTAAAAAATTAAAATCCACTTCGGCTTTGTTCAAACGAAGAGTAATCTTTTCATATTTCCTTAATAAAGAAACTGGTAATCTTCTTGAACTGAAATCCTTGATAATAGAACCAAATGGACGTAAGTTGACAAAAAATA